GGGCAGTGAGGGTGGGTGGGCAGTGATGGGACAGTGATGGTGGCTGGGCAGTGATGGTGGCTGGGCAGTGATGGGGCAGTGAGGGTGGGCAGTGATGGGACAGTGATGGTGGCTGGGCAGTGATGGGGCAGTGAGGGTAGCTGGGCAGTGATGGGGACAGTGTGTGTGGAGGCTGTGACAAGCCTCCACACACTGAAATACCTTTTTATTTAATATAATTCCCTGGTGGTCTGGTGGGATCATTTCCGTCTGCAGCTCCGCGAGAGCTGCAGACCTCGTTCTCGCGAGTGCCTGTCAGAGCGTTGCCGTGGTAACCCGCGGCAACGCTCTGTGTGCTCGCGAGAACCGTATTACATGCTCTGCAGCTCTGCACTCGGCGGAGCTGCAGATCAGCGGCCGGCTCTCCGTGTGGGCAGACCATGTGGAGGGGCCACCCGGCGGCCGAGGACCCGACAGTTCAGTCTGCCCCCAGGCGATTTAGGCGGCCGCGAGGCCCCACACAGCGCGAGGCCTTAGGCGGCCGCCTAAATCGCCTAATTAGAGAGCCGCGTCTGATATACACACACACACTCACAGATGCAGCGTAACTAGAATCCACTGGGCCTTAGTGCGAAAATTGCCCTGGGGGCCTCTCCCATATGTATCATTCCCTCTGCCCCTTAGCCCCTCCATGTGTTCCATAGGCTCTTCCAGCCCCTCCATGTGTCCCATTCCCTCTCCACTTAGCCCCTCGATGTTTCTCATACCTTTCTCCCTCCCTACCCCTCAATGTGTCCCATTTCTCCTTCTCCCCTCCTTGTGTCCCATACCCTCCCTCTCTCCCCCCCTCCATGTGTCCCATTGTTCCCTCTCTCCCTCCTCCCCTCCATGTGTCCCATTGTTCCCTCTCTCCCTCCTCCCCTCCATGTGTCCCATTGTTCCCTCTCTCCCTCCTCCCCTCCCTGTGTCCCATTGTTCCCTCTCTCCCTCCTCCCCTCCCTGTGTACCATTGTTCCCTCTCTCCCTCCTCCCCTCCCTGTGTCTCATACCCTCCCTCTCTCCCCTCTGCCCTCCCTGTATCCCATACCCTCCCTCTCTCCCCTCTGCCCAGTGTCCCATTGTTCACTCTCTCCCCTCTGCCCTGTGTCCCATTTCGCCTTCTCTCCCCCTTCCCCTTCCTGTATCTCATTTCGCCCTTTCTCCCCCCTCTCCTCCCTGTGTCCCATTTCGCCCTCTCTCCTCCCTCCCCTCCCTGTGTCCCATTTCGCCCACTCTCCTCCTTCCCCTCCAGGTGTGCCATTTCTTCCTCTCTTCTCCTCCTTCCCCTCCAGGTGTCCCATTTCTTCCTCTCTTCCCCTCCAGGTGTCCCATTTCTTCCTGTCTTCCCCTCCCATCCCTGTGTCCCAAATCCTCCATATCTCCTCCTCCCCTCTCTGTGTCCCATACCCCCCTACACTCCCTGTGTCCCATTTCTCCTTTTCTCCCCCTTCCCCTCCCTCAATTTCTCCCCCCTCCCCTCCAGGTGTCCCATACATTCTCTCTCCCCCCTCTCCTCCTGTACTTTACTGGCCTCGGTTCCCGGTCTGACAGGAAGTGCTCTCACAGTGAGCATTTTCTGTCAGGCCGCTCGACCACGCTACACAGAGGCAGGAGGGGAGCAGCACAGTGCAGCTTTCCCTTCCTGCCAGACCGCCGCGGACCTGGGCCGGTGCGGTTCTTTATCTGCCATAGAGCTTGATAAAATCTCTGTTATGAGCAGAAAAGTTATACAACTATGTTTGTATTTGAAAATATGGTTTCCCTTTAAAAGTAATTATACTTTATTTCGAGATAGATATATATCTATGATTTTTACATTTTTTTAATTTTATTTATTATTTTGCTTATTAGGCAAATGAATTTCAAAGCAGCCTGGGCATTACTTTTTGGCACAGTGGGCACTTTGTATCATTAAATTACTCAGATTTCCTCTTCCCTGAACAGTTGAACATTGTGTGCTCTACAGTGGTCCTGAGAAAATCCAAAGTTGTGATAATTACATTATTCAGCAACTTGTGTTTGTTTATTTTTTGTCATAATCACTGCCTGTTTGGTTTGCTCAAACATTTTAAAATTGGGAAGTGATATTTGAATAACTGCAAACACAGTAAGAAAAAATTAAAAAATCATGTCACCTAAAAGTCAAGTATTGCTTTAAAGGGACACTATGGTCAACACAACAACTACAGCTTAATGTATCATAATGAAGTTGTTCTAGTGTGTATAGTCGGTTCCTGCAGGCTTTTAATTTAAACCCTGTCTTTTCAGAGAAATGTTGTTTACATTGCTCCCTAGGAACACATCCAGTGGCAGTCACTCAGACTGCGACTAGAGGTGCTTCTGGGGTCAGTGCTGCACAATGTGCAACACTGACGTTCTGCGTCTCCACGCTCTGCATGGAGGCACTGAACGTTCCCCATAGAGATGCATTGATTCCATGCTGATTGTCATGACATTTTGCCGCACATGTGCAATAGTCTTCCAATGATTTCCTATGGGAAAGCATTGGATATGGTGAGATCAAGTTTGATCTCAAAACAAGGAGACAGAGCAGGTATGGGGCCAGCCGCAAGGTGAGTAAAACTCCTTTTTAAGGGATGCTGGCAACCTAAGTGGCACATTTAGACCTATTGTGTCAGGAATACATGTTTATATTCCTGACATATAGTGTTCCTTTAACAAATTTACATAAAAGTTTTCAGATGACAGACCAACCTGTATTCCTAATGCGTTAGTGTTCCTTTCCCTAGATATATAGGTATCCCCTCCATGTGTTCCATAATATTAATACATTTCTAGCTCTGCGGTATAATCTACTAAAACGGTTAACAAGCACTGTATATTTTTTCCTGTTGAAAAATAAGATATTTGACAAAATAAATAAGAAGATCATAAAATACTCATGATGACTTAGCTGTGTAATATGAATCTTATTTTAAAATTAGGTTAGTAATTATTTAAAGGGTCACTATAGTCACCAAAGCAACTTTAACTTAAATAATCACTTTGTTTATGCAGCCCCAGCCACACCTCTCTGCATCTGACTTGCAAAGCCTTCCTAAACACTTCCTCATCTAATGTTTAAACTTCCTTTATTGCCAATTCTGTTTAATTTAGAATTTCTTATCTCATTCTCTATAAATAGTCTTCTAGACCCTGCAGAAGCCTGCTGTGTGTGATTACAATTTAATTTATAGAGCAGGATAATAAAACTTCTAAGGCAAGTTAACATCTGATTGAAAATGAAACCATTTTTTCACGTGGCTAGTGCTGTATAAACAGAAACAAAAATGATTTCATCCCTAAATGGCAGGGAATTGAGCAGTGAGTCTGCAGGGGCATGATCTATACACCAAAATTGCTTCGTTAAGCTAAAGTTGTTTTTGATACCTATAGAGTCCCTTTAACCACATAGTTTCTCTCGGACCTCTCTATACAGCTGTCACATTCTCCAGGCCCAGCTGAATGCCGTAACACATCTGCCATTCTTTTCACAGTGATCACACCAAGACGACGCAGTGGTGTCACCCACAAACCGGATACCCAGTTCAGACTGGACATTTAAACAGAAGTGGTGAGACACATTTCCCTACTCTTATGCCAGTCTAGTTCATTAAAGAATGTATTTCTATTTAAACACATTAATGGGAAGATGAGGGATAAGAAAGTGACAGACTATATCAGAAACCTTCCGATCTCCAAGAAAAAAAAAAAAGTGAAAATTAAACTTGTCTAATCAAATTAACTTTTGTTGTGTTCAAGCTTTTGTTTTTGTTTTTTTCACACTGTTGTTAATTAGAGAGCTGTTTTAAATGGACCATTTAGGGAACAGTGTTTAGATCGCTATTGTCCACTTTTAGGATTAGGTAATTATCTATATTGGCTATATTGGTGTCAGTGTCAGGAGGCTGTATTGGTGTCAGTGTCAGGAAGCTGTATTGGTGTCAGTGTAAGGAGGCTGTATTGGTGTCAGTGTCAGGAGTCTGTATTGGTGTCAGTGTCAGGAGGCTGTATTGGGGTCGTTATCAGGAGGCTGTATTGGGGTCGTTATCAGGAGGCTGTATTGGTGTCGGTGTCTGGAGGCTGTATTGGGGTCGGTGTCTGGAGGCTGTATTGGTGTCGGTGTCTGGAGGCTGTATTGGTGTCGGTGTCAGGAGGCTGTATTGGTGTCGGTGTCAGGAGGCTGTATTGGTGTCAGGAGGCTGTATTGGTGTCAGTGTCAGGAGGCTGTATTGATGTCGGTGTCAGGAGGCTGTATTGATGTCAGTGTCAGGAGGCTGTATTGGTGTCAGGAGGCTGTATTGGTGTCAGGAGGCTGTATTGGTGTCAGTGTAAGGAGGCTGTATTGGTGTCGGTGTCAGGAGGCTGTATTGGTGTCGGTGTCAGGAGGCTGTATTGGTGTCGGTGTCAGGAGGCTGTATTGGTGTCGGTGTCAGGAGGCTGTATTGGTGTCAGTGTCAGGAGGCTGTATTGGTGTCAGTGTCAGGAGTCTGTATTGG